GGGGGGGGACCAGAGGAAACCCAGGCAACCAAAGGGAGGACATGCAAACTCCAATCAGATAGTGTTCTGACCAGGATTCAAACTGAGTTTGCTACAAGGCAGAAGTGCCAACCACTAAACCACTGTAGAAATGACCAAAATTCGATGTGTGTATGGCCAGCTTAAGTTACATGGCCCTGGTACATGGTGTATCTAAAGCCAAAACTATTTACTTTAACTTTGGATAGAGTATGCAGTTGGTTTGTTTTTTGCTTTCTGTGTCCTGTTTTGAAGGTTTCCCTTTCACTTCCTATCCTGGAAAAATAAGAAGTGAGAGAAGGTTGACAAATACAGAAGAAATCCCCTCTAAAGCTGACAATACACTGGTAGAGTTTCATACCAACATTCACATGAAAAGTCTTGTGAGAACATTTGATAATTGAGACTTGACAATTGTTTGAAATTGTGTTTGGTTTTAACATTCGATTTTGGAAATTTAGGGAGTTTCTTGAACGAAAACCACATTCACAATTTTAATTGTTTGAGAAGTATTTTGCATTCTGCTTTGTTTTTTTTTTTGTCAATCTGACCTCATTAACTATTAAAACATTGAACGAATGTTATGAAAAGGATTTTTATCTAACGAAATTCTAATGGTATATGGCCAGCTTTAGATTGTTGTCACCCAAACTGGTGTCCCCATTGGAAGATTTCTCTTCAATTGCAGTTCTAGTGACAACTGTAAGTTTTGGAAGTTCCCGTTACTTTGTGTCTTGCTGTCATCATACATGACAAATGCCAATATATCTGTAAAGGTTCTCACTGATCCAGGTCATGGTATAGCTAGTAGTAGTTGTTCACATTCACCTGGGCTTGTTCTGTAATGCTGAGGACATTTCAAAGCTTATCAAGGTCACTTCAGGTCAAGCGCTAATAAAGATTTAGAACTGACAAAGTGACTTGGATAAACTACGAAAGTCTTCAACCTTACTAAATAAATCCAGTTGAATGTAAGCAACTACTACTAGCTAATGGTGAATCTACCCAGCAGGGAAAACAACATTAATATAACACTGGCAGGGGTTCTAATTCTTCATCACTCTATCCAAAACTAAAACAAAAACATTTTGGCATTAGATACCTGAACCTGTGCTTTGCCTGTGTGGTTCACTTTAATAGTGGCTTCACTAGCACAACATTCCTACCTCCCTTTCCTTCCCTGCCATGTTATTTGGATACCAGGATAAAAATAAAATACCTGGTACTTCCAGAAATGGAGGAGCATGTGACTCACTAACCCTGTCCCCATATGACAGCACCGGTGCTTGGCGAATGACTGATAAGTCACCCACTGCTGTCCCACGAGGGATGGGAGAACGTCCTGTGTAAGCTCCAAATCTCTCAGGTCAGATGTTGAACAAAGTGGAGAACTCTTTTTCTGCCCCATGTGACAGCATCAGACATGTCCTTTCAGGGGGTGCGGTTGGCTCAGGGGGAAGATGGGCACAATGAAAGCAAGAGCAGGTTCCCTATGGTGCTTCTACCAAGCAGCAAAATTACTTTTAGTTTTGTATCCTGAGAACAGAGACACATTGAGCTTATAATGAAAAGAGATACTTATATCCTACCTAGGATGTCCTCGTAGACGTTCTCCTCGGATAAAGTGCGTGTAAGGGCCAACTTAGTCTGTGCGTACCAGTCTACCCGTCCATTCTCCGACGACTGCAGTAGATCTTCAAATTCATAGGACTTTCTAGTGTGCAAAGTGAGAGAGGAAAGGACAAGGAAATGAAATGTTAGAAGCTGATAGAAGAGAACAGCCGCTGAATATGACAATGGTTTAGGATTTCTTCAGAAAAAAAAAACCCAACTTGTTGTTCAGGAAGCGATAATGACACATAGCTGTTTCATGACACTGCAAAACTGTAAGATAATATGCAAAACTATATGACACAGAGAAAACACACATTTGTATAAAACACACTGTGCTGAAACTAATATGCGACCCAGGGGATTGTGAATATTAAAATACACTATATGGTCAAACCTATGTGAAGGGTATTTGTAATGCTACAGCTTTTAAAGACATTTTAGACAATTATGTCCTTGTGAACAAATCTAAGCTCATAGAAATATAGTGATGAGTTTGGTGTGTGTAACAACAGCCCTGACCTCGACCTATTAAACACATTTGGGATGGACTAGAATGCCAATTATAAGCCAGGTCTTCTTAAACCGTACCTGACCTCTTTTGGCTAAATGAGCATGCATTCCCACAGACACACTCCAAAGTCTTGAGGAAAATCTTCCAAGAAGAGTTCTAGCTGTGGAGAAAGGCCAACTCCATATGGCTTGCCAAGATGTCAGAAAGGGATGTCCAAGACAATCATATTGGTGTGCTGGTCAGGCATCCAGCCACTTTTTGGCCAAATAGCTTACTATTTGAGATTTTTCACCACAGAGGTACTCCACTTTACAGCCTGACCATGCTGATGGTTTAGTTCCTTATGATTCCACGAGTTTCCAGCTGTAAAAAGTAGCTAATCATATTCAACGCTTCAATTCCCCCACATGGATGTTTTAATTGGATGAGTCTACTACAGGTCGTCATGCTCCACTCCTTCTGGATCTTCCATAGAAATAAATAGACAAGAGGAGGACTGAATGGTATTGCCAGTTTATTTCTGTTTTCATGGAGAGATAATGTCATATATCTGGATGGGGAGCCTGAGATGAAGAGGGTGGCCTCTCTTACTGGTCCAGTCTAGCCAGCACGGGGATGAAAGAGTGGCACGAGTGTCAGTGGAAGGTGATGTTACTGATGGCACTGGAACTCAAGAGCGTGGTGGACAAGTGACTAGAGGTAACAGGAGATGAGGGTCACCAGTGAGAAGAGGCCAGAAACAGGCCAGGGTCAGAAACAGACAGGCAAGACAGTGCCAATTCGTCAAACAGAGTCAGGGGCAGGCTGGTTCAGCAACTTGTCTGCAGCAATGTACCAGAGAGGGTCAGGCAGGAGTCATAGACGGAAAACAAGCCAGGGTCAGTACAGGAGCAGATGAGCAGACAAAGAAGAGCCACAGATGAGTCAGGAGACAAGCTGGGCCGGTAACAGGAATCAGGATCGGATGCAGAATTGCTCGTCTTAAATGTATAACTAAAGATCTCTCATCTCTGGAGTCTTGCAGGTCTCCAATAGCCTGCCTGGTCCCACAATTAGCAATGAGTGTCCACTCAAGGGCAGGTGCTCGTGTCGGAATTCAACTATGCAGACTGGCTCGATCTTCCTGACAGGTAAAAAACGTAACCCACTGACATCCATCTGCTATCCTAAACTGGAATATCAGTTTTGATGGACCTTTTAAAGAAGAACTTTTCAAAGCATTATTTGTGTCTACAGGGACACAATTCAGAAAACAGCAACCTATGTTGTGTTTATGGGATCCAATGCCTCTAACACTCAGAAGCATGTTGAAGTACTATAAAAAAAAAAAAAAAAATGAACCTGTCTGTGGCCACTCCTTTTCCTTAGTATTCCAAAACAGAATAGAAACAAGAATACAAATGACTCTGTTCCTATAAATCAGAGCTTTCCAAAATTTTTTGTCATAATGTGATTGGAGAGGGCAGTCAAAGACCCAGCATGTCTCCATTAACTCCCCATGATTTCAAAGCAGAGTGGAAGTAAACAGCAAATAGTTGTTGCTTTGTTTAGGAGAAATATTTATGCAGCCCACAAAATTGATGCGTCTGGATCATTTTGTCTGCCATGATTAGTCCATGCTCTGATATTCTTTCGACGCCAAAATGATGCTTCTCAACGCCGCAGCTTAACGATAAACCCCAGCCAAAACTTTTTTTGTTCTGAATAGAATGCAGTAGGGATGGAGCTTCTATCAGGTTTTTATCGCCATCTCACCAATGGGGACACATTGAAGAACAAAAACAAATTGTTAGTAGAGAGAAGGGTTAGATCTTCTGACTATTTTTTTGATGTCTGTGCCTTTCCTAACCCCTTAACAATCGCATCCCCATTTCTGGTATGGCTGTCGCAGGGGAACGTGAGGGCAAATTTTCTTAATGGGGTCACAGCACAGACAGAAATAAAAACATGTCAGAAATTTTAACCTCACCCTATTAAACACTAAAATAGAAAATTGGCTAGAGTTAGACTTAACACAAGCCGGCATTAAAAACCAGATAAATGTTATGTAAGCTATTTAAATTGAGCATTTATAGCTATTAAGATAATCATCTTTGTGGCTTCTCTAACTAACAAAGCGAGAGGTGCTCTGAGTCACCAAATGATGTGGCAGATAAAATTACAACAGATGTATTATATTTTAGGTAATCTCTCTCTAAACCAATGTGTAGGTAGACCACATAGACTTGGCCGAGGATGACTAGACTGCTAGAGGTGGTGTAAAAATTTCCTCGGCCAAAAAGGGGTCACGAGTGGAGAAAGTTTAAGAAGGGCTGGTGGTAGAATACCTTTGTCGTATTAGGCACTGGTAGGCTTCCCTATAGTTCTGTAGGCCACACTAAGAAGCCAGTCTACTCCTGAATTGAGTCTTCACCCTTTTACACACCAAAGTGTACAGGGACTACAAAAAGGGCAATGGCAGGTTAAATTCAGGTATTTAAACTGCTTCAATTTAGGGCGATGCCAAGTTAAATTCAGGTATTTAAACTGCTTCCATTTAAAAATACATTGGATGATGCATTAATGTTTAGAGAGCTTCTCGGCCTTTTGGCAAAGATCAAGTGTAGTATCTGTTATTATCAGTTTTCAGAGAAGAACAGCTCCATCCCCGGCAAGGATGGATGCTTAGTATTCTCTGATGTAATAGGTGGGTGCAGGAGGGGTTTCCTTTTCCTCCTGGGTTGATTCAGGTCCGATTGTGACGGCCTGTCCCCAGTTGTAGGCAGGAAATCTGCCGGTACTAATGCCTTCTAGTAGGGAGGGGGCCGCATTTGTCTGGCCGGAGGGTTTGGGGAGCGCAAAAGACTGCGGTACTGTGCTCCCTGGTAGTGGCGTCTCAGGGTGGGTCGGATAATCACTTGGGTTTCGGACTCCAATTGATTCACCAGTACTAGGTCACGGCACTCAAGCTATATTCTGCACCATGCCTCTTGGGCAGGCCTTCTGGCTAGTCCGGGGCCTGCCTTAATTTATTTTAGGCACTATTTTTATGTACGACTGCACTTTTGACTTCACAGATGATGAAGGGTGCAGGTACCTTCGGGGCCTGTTCCTGAAGTTGGGGAGGAGGTTCTGTGGCCTAAAAATGGGCTTCTCTGCCTCCTCCCACTTTTCGGTCTTCCTTTGGGGGAGCCCCCAACCTAGTACTTGGTGGACCTGTGTCGGCAGGTCCCAGAGGAGAGGGGTCCGCCGACCTACGGGTAGGTGGACCTAAGTTGTTCTTGTCCCTGTCAGGAGCCTTGCGCCCCCGGGGATCAGGAAATCGTGGCCCTTCCTTATCAGAGGAGGACCAATGGCACCCTTGTGCACTTTTTTTCTAGTGTGTTGTGATTTCACGATTCACTTTTTTTGTTCACAGGGGATGTTTTTTGATGCACGCACCACGGGCTTAAAAAAAAAAAGAATGGTTACAGAGTTGCATTAATTTGTGTCTTATCTACCTGGAATTTAGTTTTAATCCATCCATCTACGCTATTTAAACGCTCTACAATTGCTCTATCAAGGCTTTCATTTATTCAGGTCATAGTATAGCCGGTAATAGTTAGTTTCTGGGGGGGGTGTTTATATACTTAAAGATGCGGCTACCAGTCCAAATATCTGGGGTGGTATCATTGGCACAGCTCTCAAATGTCCCTCTACCATCTTCAGTTGACTTTCTTTTTTGGTCTGATGTATAGATATCTATATAGAAGAATGTACTATTTAACCTTTCAGCCAACCTCTAAATTATTTATTTTTAGGTAAAACAAAAAAACAATAAATTTTTCCTTTTTTATTCCTCATGGTCTATTGAACTGGAAGCTTAACCTGGGGTTTAACCATTCAATGTTTCCTTTAACCCCAGGGATAGCTCCACTGCAAGAGTACATTTTTTAAATATCTGGAGTTTCTTTTGTGCTGAGGTAAAACTAATGTGAGCTTTTATTGTTATCCTACTTGATTTTGGCTGGATTTTAATTTTAGTTTGCCATGCCTGCCCTAAACTGATTGTATATAATCTTTCTTGAGTCTGCCACAGAAAAATGTGGGTACCCTAAAGTGTGACCAGTCCTACTGTGAAAGGGTTAACGTGTTTGGAAGACTCTTCAAAGCCATTCTACAGGGATAACGTTTCACAACGTTTTTCAGCTTCTTATAGACAAGGAAACAAAAATAAACCTACAGACTTCCTTCCTGGCTGGTGAATTGATAGCTCATTGCTTTTAGAGGAACATGAAGTTATATTTATCTATTAATAAGAATTTTCTCTTTTATAGAGTTTTAACAATAAAACCCTTAAATGGAAGGTGACATTTCTTAAGAAAATCCAAGATGTGGACGCTGCCATCGGAGTTTATTTCTGTACACCGCATCTGTATTCACCTTGTGGTAGACACATAGTACCAGAGAAGGGATCATTTGATGTGTCACTTCTCTTTTTTTAATTTCCAATGAAAATTACTGCATCAGTGCACTCATCTTTTTCTTCCTTACTTGTCCACCATTTTCTCTTGGGAGTCGGTCATTGTTTTTATAGGCTTTGAATCAATAATGTATCTCTATGGCCAGAAATCCTTATGGACACACACTTTTCTAGCCCTTCTCTAGTATGGCTTGTTTTATACCTACCACTCAACATGTAGAGTTCCCATATGTTCTTTATTTGGAACTAAACCCTCTGTCCCTCATTTCTTCACATTTGTTCCTCTTTTTGGTCTGATGAATAATAAAAGTACTATTTTAAATGTATCTGATGATCTTTAAAGGAGAACTATGAGGTGAGTGATTTCCACTCACCTCATAGTTCTAAGCCGACCTGTGACAATGAGACTGTCACAGGTCAGCTCAGTAGATCGGGAGGTGAGCGAACACATACCGGGTTCCCTCACCTCTCGATCCTGTCACGGCTCTCTGCCGTGACAGGGGGAGGGCTGGATTCCCCTCTCCCCGCTCCGATCTGCCAGCGCTGACTGGCGGAACGGACGGGGGAGGGGGCGGGTACAGCTGGCTCTGCCTCTAGATAGGCAGAGCCAGCTGTCACTCACACAGCTGGGCGGATCCCGTCAACTACGTCGGGAGCCGCTCCAGGTGCGGCGTCTCAGTATACCGCGAGCTGTAGCTCGCGGTATACTGAGCTTAGGGTAACGGGAGGACGCTAGTTTGTGTCCTCCCGTTACCCTAAGGAGAACTATGGGGAAAAACTCTGACCCCATACTTCTCCTTTAAGTGGCCTTCCTATGATGGCACAGATCTCTGATACAGACTTAGATATAGAGAGCTAAGGGAAACCTCACCTCTGATCTACTTGGGGCCTGATGATATGTGTTGGCTAGTCTGATCTGTTAAAGGTTAAATCTCTGTCTACTCTGTGACCACATGAAAGGAAAAAAAGGAAAAAAACAGTGTTGGCACGGATCGTTTTTTAGAGAACGTGTCTCAAAAGCCATCTTGACATAATTGTCTAACTGATTGCTCCCAATGTACTATTACAGCATTTCTCATAATATTTGTAGTCACAGCACCCTTAAAAAGTATGCAAACTCTCCAGGCACCCCACATTTTAAGGGGGATTCCACGCAAAAATACACAAAAAAGTGAGTGCCCCCTTCAAATCAAGATCCCCCCCCCCCCCCTTCCAATCAGAGTCCCCCTTTGCATCAGTAGCCCCTGTTCACATCAGGAGCCCCCCCTTTCACATCAGAAGCCCCTCTTTCATATCAGAGTCCTCTGCTTTCACATCAGAGTTCCTCCTTTACATCAAAAGTCACCTCCATATTAGTCTTCATCTCCTCCCTTTACAACACAGTCCCACTACCACAAAAAAGTTTGATGCACCCCAGTTGATGCCAGAATGCACCCTGGTTGAGAAAGGCGATGTATAAGCACTGATAATGCTGCACATTCTAAAGACGTACATGCTCAAAAATGTACCTCAAGCCAGACCATTTAAAAAAGAGCATGACCTTACATAACCTTTTAAAATCCTAGCCTCGAATTATACATAGGGCAGATACTTTTCCTCAGGTTGAAATTAACCAGCAGCTGAAGCCCATTATTTCAAGGAAATCAGCATAATTATCTCCTAAACCTGGGGCCCCAAAGTTTTCAGGCCGAGAGCCACATCATATATATTAAAAATATTTGCAGGCAGAAAATCTTTTTTTTTAAATAAATGAATGAATAAACTTTAAATTAATTAATATGTTCCCCCTTACACCCAAGAGTGCCCATCAGAGTCCCCACTTACATCCATTAGTGGCCATCAGAGTCCCCCCTTAAATCCAGGAATGCCAAGCAAAGTCCCTCTTTACAACTAGGAGTAACCAGCATAGCCCCCCCGCTTACATCCCATCAGAGTGTCCTCTTAACTTTCAGGTGGCAAAGCAGATTGGTGGAAGTGGTCTGGACAGAGGAAATCCAGTTCTCTTGTAAATGCTAGGGGTGGGCAATCATGTCTTTGGTTGCTAGGATGCCGGTGTTCCTAGCAACCAACAACGGCAGAAGAAGGGGGAGCTGATAAGATCTTTTAGCAGGCCTTATATGGCCTGCCGGACATAGTTTGGAGCCCCTTTCCTAAAGCAAGAGTCACCATTTTCCCCCACAAAGAACTTCCAAGCCCAGATGAAGGTGGAGCTCTTCACACTCTTTGGGAATCACCCCAAAAAATCTCTAGACCCTAGACAAACATTGCTGTGGCACTATCATCTCATCTTAACCTCTGGATTTAGCTCAGGATGCAGTTTGAGCCCCCCTAGTGTTTAAGAGCTGCCTAGCCAAAACCACCTTTACCTTTTCAAGGGCCTTTAGGCCCTGCATATGGAAGGAGAATTAACATATGTGAACTACTCGGAGTAATGTTTACCTTCATTTATATTCCTAATAGACCTGTTTGAGAAAAAACATATTTGTACATGTGCACATTAGAGAGAGTATGAACAAGCATCAAAAACTGAAAATTGTTAGGACAGTCACTTATGCTCAAAGAATATTGAATATCAAGCAAATTAGTGGTCAATAATGAATTGTTCTTTATGTAAACATTATAGGGTTTCTCCCAATCTTGCTACAATATCACAAGTAACATAGACCTACCTGTGGTTTCCATTGTTTCTGTGCTTGCTGTTCCAAAGTCTCCTGCTGACAGCTGATGGAGGTGGAGATGTTGGGAGTGGAGGGGGAAGTATACAAGGAAGTGGAGGTAAGTCTCTGTTCATTTTCCGTAAACCTGTTCTAACTGGGTCCAGGTCTCCCTCGTGCCGAAAAGTCCTCCTAGGTTTTGGTAAAGGGTTGATAGGTACTGGCTTCTCAGGGGCTCCGGGCTCTGTATATACATTTTCAGCATTGCTTGTTCTACGAGATGCCCTACCCTCTCCAACTGTCCCAAATATAGGCTCAGCATTCTCAGAGTCTGATCCCCATTTTGATTTTGACCCCACTTTGTTCTCCTGGTTCTCTGAATCCAGTAAAGACTGTGGTGAGTAATAGGTCCCAGGTAACTGCGGTAGACCATCTGCAGGGCTGTCCTTCAGTGAACGTTCAAACCTTTTCACCTGGTTCAGCACAGTTGTTTGGTCCTTCTTTGTGCCTGTAACTTGCTCTTGAAGTCTTTCTGTGGTTAAGTTGGCCTCCTTTTCTCTTTTCTTTTCAACTTTTTGAGACTCTGTCTGTTCAATGTCCTTGTTTTCCATTTCCCAGCTGAACATCCTTTTAAAGTTAGTTTTCTGACGGTTTCTTCCATCATCAACAGTCGTATCTCCAAAAGTGGTACCAAACGAGTCCTGTCTCTTTACGGCGATAAGCTCTTTCCTGCTAAGGTTTGGAGACAGGGTCTCCTTCTTACCTTCCCACTCAGAAATCTTATCCTTGATGCTTGATGTTTTCTTTAGGGTGATCTTTTGGGGAGAGGGGGAAGACTTAGTGTTTCCCAGCTGTTTCTTAATGATAAGTCCTGGGTCTTTGACATTTATTTCCATCACTGGGTCATTGATGATCATTTTGTTGCTGAGCATGTTATGTCCCAAACCTTGTAAGTCTTTGTCACTTGGCCAGTTCTCCAGGCCTTTAAATGGAGTCTTCTCTTGGTCGAATTCTTGTTTGTATATGACCGAGGTGAATGTACTTACAGCTTGGGTTTTGATGCTTAGGTGAAACTGAAGAAGTTCAAGTTTTTTCCAAGTCCCAGAGTTCTCTTTACCTGTGGGGTTCACCCTGGAAAAAAGAGAGGAATCATTGATGTATAATGCTGAGGTTATAGCATACTATTCATATATGAGTATTACAATTTGTGAGATATCAGTGAAGATTTGGTGAATGATTTTGCAAAACAGTTGAACGCATAGCTAAACCCAAGAATATAGATGTAATATATATTGCAGATGTATCCTAGATGTGCTGGCTACATTCGTTTTCTTTTTTTTGGATCCTATTTTATTTTCACCTGTGATCCTGAAAATAGAAAAGCCTGCCTCCTGCCAGCAGGTAGTAGAGAAGCACCCTTGCTATGTGCGGAAGCAGTGGTCTTTCTGCAGAGATCCTACAAACCTTCTGTTGAGTCGGACCTATAGCTTTGCAATTAGCAAGGCTCAGGCTTCCTGCTGATTGGAGAACTCTAGCTCTGCCTCTGCATAGCCAGTGTCAGATCTCTGCAGAGAGACTATTGTTCCCCAAACAGAGCAATGGTTCTTCTTGCGCCGGCCCTGGGCGGTGCATTGAAGTCAATGGCTCTGCAGCCACGCCCCTCGCCCGCAGTGCGATCACCCGCACCTGGAAAGCAGGCACATTAGTGCCTGCGTTCCGGTCCAGTGCGATCTGCAAAAATATTGTAAGCACTATTTTTGCAGTTCACACTGGACCTGCGTTCCGGGTGCGGGCAATCGCACTGCGGGTGGGGGGCATGGCTGCAGTGCCATTGACTTCAATGCACCACCACGCCCCCTCCCGCCCCTGAACGCCGGCCGGCTTCTGTTCCAGTGCGTTCCAGAGGCCGAAAGTTCTGGAACGCAGACTTTGTGCTGTGAACCGGCCCTAAAGACTGCTGTCAGGGGGAGGGTTTTTATACCCAGGCTGTGACTTCTGTCTAAAGAAAACAAACTGTAAGACTTTGCACCCGTTTTTTGATGCATCTGAAATGTGTTTAGCTATAGCTAATTAAACTAAAAGTTAATTTGGGCTTTATTACTACAGCTTTAGAGTCTCAGCAGTTAACTGCTGGTCTATGAGTCATCTTACAGTGTGTTTTTTTTTGTATTTTCCACTTCTAGGGGTCGATTTGAGTGAAATTGCTCAAGCATGGATGTGAGCTGATGCAGGTTGACGTGTTATACGCTGCAAAAACGAATAAAAGATCCCAGCCAGTCGTTGGCAGTGGCACAATGTTCATGCAAAATGCCGATTTCTGGAAGTTAGACACAAAAATTCTCACATGCATTGCCAGTCAATAATTGAAAAGAGAGGAATACACTGAAAAACGTATTTAATAAGACATAAAATAAGTATAATGTGCAGTAACAATCAATCATAAATGTTTTGTTGTACAAGCTGGCTATCGGTTACAATCTGATTGTGCAATCTCTGCACTCTTTCCTGCAGATTTCCTTACAATAAGGTAATGCTAAGGTAAAGCTGTAATTTAAATGTATAAATCCACATTGTGTGCAACAAATGCCTTTGTAATCCTATATATTGGTATATAAAGTAGTGGCGACATCATTGCCGGGCTGCACAGAGCCTTACAGAAAGGAGAGCTGTGGGTTGGACTCCTCCACCTACAGGCTGCCTGCTGAAAAATATAGAGGGGCGGATACAAGACCAGTCACTCTGCACATGGAAACAGCAGCAGTGGCAAGTCTGTATGACAGGAAACTCCTGCACAGGGGTGAAGTGCTGGATTATTGCTCAAATCCGGAAGACGTACGCAAAGGAAACCACATTTTAATTAAGACTACACATGCCTCTTGTATTCAGACAATATTTTTGTAGCCCAGAGATCAGATTAAAGTAGAACTCTGGAGAAGTGTTTTTATTAACTTTTTTTTAGTTAACTGCTCGTTTTGGTGTAGGGATCCTCTGAGATGGTCAACTGTGACAGCACTCCCTCCTGCTTGTCTTCTCCTCCACTGCAGCATTCCGACCGGAATTTTTCCAAAAACACTCATGTGTCCACTGCAGTTCCACTTCTCAGTGTGTGAGTCAGCAATCTGCTGGAACAAGCAAAGCCGCTCTAAACTTTCCCTTCTTCTGGTTCCCAATTCAGGAAGCAAAGTGGAAAAAAAGGAAAAGCCCTGACTCCGTGAGGTCCAGAAACCACAAGCCGTGGTGGAGGACAGACGAAGAGCAGAATGATTGCGGGCAGGGAGACATGGCTGGAAACCCATATTTCACAGGCAGGGACTGCGTGGAACACAAGATAGCCCTTGGCCTGAGACTCTTATATGTAGAGTATGGCAGTGCAAAATGAATGAGCACATGCAGAAAAGTAACTTTCCAACTTCACCAGATATTTGGAAGGCTAAACTGCATAGCCAGTATGTACCTGACTGTCATGTTGATCCAAAGGCTTCAATATTCTTAAAGAGACCCTGCCACCAGACCATTGATTTTTTTTTAAATGATCCCATTAGATTATATGTGAAATTAACAATGTTTTTTTCATGTTATTTCCCTGTAAATTCCTTCCTTGTGTAGACATCTAAAAGCCCTGAGACTGCTGCTGGGTGCCGCCATCTTTATTGTGCCAGTCTATAGTATTTCCCTTTGCTTCTCCCTCAGCAGCTACATGCAAGGTTATGTAGGGACATGAGGGGGGATCCTGGTTCAGCGGAGAAAGTAATTAGACTCTAAAAGAAGAGTAGCGGGCTACAATGTGCAAGGAGGGTGGGGGCTGTGCTAGGGAACTGACTCTCCTGGAGTAGTCAAATCACTGTAAGTAAGCTTGTAAATATTTTTTGGGGGTGGGGAGCAGAGATTTCCAAAAATAATTGAAGTCAACACTGCACATGTGCACTGCTGGATACAAGAACATGGTAGAGGGACCCTGCACTTGCTTTGTCAGCACTAGGCACAAAACCGCACATGCGCAGTCAAGGAAAGGTCAGAAAAAATGACTGTGCAGGTGCAGAAAAAGGAGCCAGCACACATGTTGGAAGCTAGACAGTGCTGAACTGGAAATCAGGAATGACAGGATCACCAGGTAATATCTTTACATTTACTTAGACATTTAAAAATTGTGCATATTATGAAGCTATATTTGTGATACCTTGGAAAAGAATGGTTTACAGTAGGGATGCACCGATACCAGTTTTTTTCGGTGTTGAGTATGAGTTCCAATATTTATATGTCGGTACTCGCCAATACCAAGTAACGATACCAGTATTTTTGCTAGCATGGAGCTGGCTTTCTGTTCCCCCGCGACCCTGCCGAACATTGGAAATCTCCCTCTGACCAGAAGTTCTGGTATCGGGTGTAAGTATTGGAACATTTGGGTGAGTACAAGTACTCGCCCAAATACTTGATATCGTCTCCGATACCGATACTAGTATCGGTATTGGTGCATCCATAGTTTAAAGTATAGAGGTGCCTCTACAACCAAGCCAAGGGTTCTGTGATATGCATCAGAGAGGCAGACCTAAGGTAGGATGCATTGATTGATGCAGATTCTTCATTAAAGTGTTCCAGCATTATACAGTGTGTGGCCAGTGTTTGAATGGCTGTTGACTTTGGAGTGTGGGCACGCTGTGACTGGGGAGCACCTGGTTGGAAACCCTGCTAATCCGGGGAGGAGCGGTACTATCGGCTTTGGTTCACTGCAAATTACTTACACTACTTACATTTAAAAATATACCTTTAATGATGTATCAACTATTACAATGCTGCATTAATTCATATCTGCCTAAAGTTCGGCTTCAAGATAAAACCTGTAATAATGAAAATGTGCTAATGAAAATACATTTTGTTTTCAATGTAACCGATGCTCTGAATTCTTACCTGCGGCTTGACTGGTGCAGAGTGTGATCCTTATTTCTGGTCACCTCAGCCGCCCGTCTCACAGTCATCGTGTCAGCATGTGATATCACACCCGCTCCCCTACAACATAACAAGAAGAATTTTTAATCCTCAACACACCAACATATATGTAAAATAATTGTAATAGTAAACCAAAGCTGTTAGTAAATCCAACTGCAAGTCAACCCAAGCTCTCGCCAGAAAAAAAGGCATCAAAATGATTACCAGAAAATGTGTGAGAATCAACGGTGAACAAGGGAGGTAGCCATTTTGTTGAGCTCACAAACCAATCATGACATCTTTGTACAAGGGGCATTCTGTTAAACACAAGTAGAATTTTATTTATTTTTACTAAATAGCCCAATGCTGGTAACAATATAAAAAGCAGGCTGGCTGCTATACTCATCTCTCCAGCATTGTCCCTGCAGACTCTCTTAGGCTCTGCAATCCAGCGCTGATCCACTTACAGGTTGAATGACGGTGTGCCCTCTTATTTCAAGCCAAAAACATTTTGGGCTGCATTAAAACTGTCAGGTTTTTATTGCTAACTGTTTAAGGGATTTCCTCTTAATTCCTGTACTGCTGGTAAATCTGCAACAAGGACACAGGCAGAAATGCAAATCCGACAGGGGTTCTAGCCTTCCCCTACTCTACTAAAGAAAAGCATTTTTATTTCTGTCTGTGTTGCTGTTGGAGAACACCCCTCACTTCCTGTCTGGTAAAACCTTGTCAACAGGACAGGAAGTAAAGGGAAATTTTGCTAATTAGGCCCCAGGTAGCAATAAATGCCTGACAGGGGTCTTAAGACTCCCTTAGCTTTACAAATGCCAGCACACAAACAGGGATCCTTTAAAACAAAGGTATGCCAATGCCGGCTCTCCAGCTGTGGTTCAACTAAAAATCCCATAAGCCTTTGCAAGATTATGACAGCCACAAACATGGTTTCCAGAGGCAGATACATGATGGGATTTGCAGTTTCACCACACCTGGAGGGCCGGAGTTTGCTTACCCCTGCTTTAAATGCTCATTCTTTATTTGATCTTGGCATAAAACAGCAAATAAATTAAATGCATTTATGGACAATAAGGCTGGACAGCAACCTTCACCAAGCACCGAGGTCCCTAAGGCATACATTGGACACGAGGAGGTACAACAAGTTCCTAACACTTGCTTGCTTTCTCCAAAACAAAGGAAAACGTTTTTGGTCTGACATACACTTTAACATTTCGCCCTACAGGTAGGTGTTATGGGCAAGCGTCCCCAAACTTCTACCAGCTAGTGTAAAACTTTGTAATTTTTGTAGTCCTTTTCACTTGGTGCTTGAGTGTTAAAGCAGAACTCCGGGCACGACACCGCAACCCACCACGAGTAGAGCTTACCTTGAGGGAGAGTCATATTCCCCTTACAAAGGCTTCTGCTGCTCTGAAGGAATCCTGACTGATAAATATGTTGTCAGCAGAACAGGAAATGAAGGTAAATCTCTCTAAGGGCCGGTGCACACCTATGCGACACCCCACCATGCGACAATCATGCATGATTCCGTGCGGATTGCCTCACGACCAGGAGAAGTATAGGTGTGCACCGATCACGCTGTGGGTGCCATCATTTTCCATTTGCACCCCATTCGCGTCGGGCAGATCGCGCAGTTTCCCGCCACGATTCCACGAAAACAGCCGTGCGTCGAGTATCGCAGAAAAAAGGTACAAGTTCAGAAGCACGGGCGGAATCGCGGCGGGAAACCGTGTGATCCACCCGGCGTGATTGAGGTGCCATTGGAAAATAATGGCACCAACAACGTGATCGGTGCACACCTATATGACTCCTGACCGCTCTGGCAATCTGCGCAGAATCGTGCACGATTGCCGCGCGATGGGGTGTCGCGTAGGTGTGCACCGGCCCTTACAGAGCCTGGGATAGCAGTAACAACCAAACAGGGGTTCTACCTCTTCTCTGCTCTATTCAAAACTAAGGGAAAAAGTTTGCACTGGACAAACACTTCGTGGAGGGTGAAACACATTGCTAGTTCTTCCCGGGTTACTTCCCTTCATGTGAGATGAGGTTCAGGTGAGGTGAGTCACTTTTATGAGACCCATGACAGATATAAGCATATCTAACACATACCAGCAAAACAGATAAATCACAAGCAGTGGAGGATTCTGGGAATTCTGCCTTCCTATCCACTCATAAATATATAAACCTTTGCAGAATGTTCAGGTAGGAAGAATCAGATCCACAGAGGGCATGTTGCCCACAAGGGAAACGGTGAAATACAATTTAACTGAGAGGTGTAATGTGTCAGAATCGTGTCCACACAGGAAATCACATCACTCATTGATATCTGCATTCCACATACAGCAGCAACAAACACAGAACACCTTCTGTTTCTGGCACAGAAAAGTTGGCTGAAGGGATAATTACACTATAGAGATAGTATACTGCGTCCAGATATGAAGACCAAAAATACTAAGAAAATGACTAACCCCTAAAGGGAACCAATGAGGATAAATATGACCAAAAAGACCAAATGTGGCCACAATGAACTTACTAGTGTTAATGGAGCTGAATACTCTGGTTTTCTTATAAATCCAGCAATTCTTCTTGTTTACACGCAAGTGGAATTATAGCTCTCCCTGTTATTCCATGCCCGCTTGGATGTAAGCCATGCAGGCCTCATAGACTAAGGCCCCATTCACACCTGACCGTTTTGTAGCGCGTCCTACGCTCGATGAACGCTCTACAAAACGGTAAAAAAAATAAATAGCATTGTAGTCAATGGTATCGTTCCCACCTGTCCGTATTTCCGCCCGTCCCGAACGCACTACAAAACGGCCCACGCATGAAAAGGTCCCGGAGCGTTTTTGCTGCGTATTGGTCCATTTTGTAGGGCGTTTTCCAATTGTATACTGCCAAGTAGCCTTTGGAATCGCGCGACGGTCGCGCAACTTTTTTACCGCGAATCGCGGTAAACAAACCGTGTGACGGTCGCGCGACAGACGCGCATATTACAATACGCATAGGTGTGAATGGGGCTTTATAGCGAACTGTGGGGACAAGAATGCCTAGGCACCCACAAAGACTCTGCTTGCTCAAAAGTCACCTCCCGTGGAGAATGCTATCTATTAAATCCAGCAAATCTTGTTGACATGCAGATGGAAATACAGCTCCCGCTGTTCTTCTGTGCCCACTTGGATGTAAGCAGTGCAGGTCTCATAGACTTAAAGGAGAACTATGAGGTGAGTGAAAATCACTCAACCTCATAGTTCGAGCCGACATGTGACAATGAAACCGTCACACGTCGTCTCAATAGATCGGGAAGTGAGCGAACACACACCGTCGCTCACTCACTTCTCGAGTGACAGTCACGGCTCTCTGAAGGGAGAATCACTAGTGGGGATTCACCCCCCTCCCCTGTCCGATCCTCCAGCGCTGACTGGAGGAACGGACAGGGGAGGGGGTGGGCACAGCTGTCTCTAGATAGGCAGAGCCAGCTGTCAATCACGCAGCTGGGTGGATCTCGACAGTAATGTCGGGATCTGTCCCGGCTGCGGCGGTCTCAGTATACCGCGAGCTGTAGCTCGCGATATACTGAGTTTTGGGTCACGGGAGGACGCTAGTTTACCCCATAGTTCTCTTTTAAAGTGACACTAAACTCAGGAGTTAAAATTTAAAGATACATTCAAGTACCTTAACTATCAACAAAAATGTATCTTATTTGTGTATCACTTGGCTGTAGATCCTCAAATCATCTCTGAATTGGTGCTGACACTGTCCTTCCTTCTGGAGGGGGGCTACTTTTGTTCCCCATGATCCCTGTGTGTGTTGTAAAGTAGCCATCGCACCAAGGTAGCTCCCGTGATGGAATACAATCTCATGTTTAGTTGACTAATTTGTATTGAGATTGTCGTTTTCGTACGTAGGTGCACCCAACATGTGTTTACATTAATACATGCGCACTTTAAAAACAATTATACACTTATTTTATTTAATATTATTGTTTTCAAACTTTTTTTTTTTTTACTTAAATTAATTTCTATTGCATTGGTGGGCTTACAAGCCCTAGTAACCCCTAGTGTCACCTTTTGGCTCCAAAGAAGCTACTGGAGCACAGATTCTGAAGCCGGGTAATAATAGCTGAGGGACCGGAAGTGCTGCAGTCTCCTTCCCTGCTTCCCGCCGACACCCATGATGCTAGTCCCGGGCCCGCAGGAGGGGCCGCGGAGCCCGGGAAGCAAGTACAGGGGGAGCTGTCATTCTACCCGCATGATAACAAAATAAGGCATTGGACTTAAAAAAAACAAAGGAAAGGCAGAGGGCAAATTACTAGGCATCAGTGTGTGGTCTCTCTGCAACTGATCTTTTATCCATCACTGACTTACCATGCTTTGTCTTGCGCTATGCCTCTGTGTGTAGGCAGCCATCTTGGTAGAGGCAGGGCCTTGCTTTCCCTTGACAAAGCCCCCAGCAAGGAGAACAGTCAGCAGCACAGTAGTGACATCACCAAATCTCAGTCCAGATCTCCTGAGACTTGCAGTCAGAGCTAGCAGTGCTTGAGGCTCCGTTCACTCATAGCGTTAGCTATGTGTGAACTGCGCGGCACGAAAACGCACAAACTTTAACATACACGTGGATTCCGCACCTTTGCGGCTATTACTATAGCTGTAACACGCAGAATCTGCACAGAAAATCGCACTTGGACTTTTTTCCTGGACACGCGTTTTTGCACCGCGTGGCCGTCGCCCTAGTGTGAACAACACAGATTGAAAATAATTATTTTTTATGTTTACCGCGTTTCCATCGCCAATGTGTGAACAGAGCCTTAGATCTCAGGCTGCAGATATACTATACAGCTATTGGGTTGTAGACACAAGACTGCCTATGCACCCTCACATATGAGGAAGTGAACCATTTTTTAGTAATTCCAGAAAAAAAGGTAATTTTTTTACAGGGTACTGCTTCAGCGCAATTACCATTTCAAACTTTTCCCTATAGCAAATCTTCACTTCCTGAGTTTAGTTCCACTTTAACCCAATCTTCTCCATAACCCTCACCCAAACCTATAAGGGCTTGTTCACACCAAGCGC